AGAGAGAGAGAGAGAGAGAGAGAGAGAGAGAAAGAGAGAGGTTTGAAAGACTTATTTGCGGATTCCATCCAGGATCATCCACAGCACAGCCAAGAGCAGCGCCAACTGCATCCGGGCAAAGGAATGAATGGAGAACCAATATCGCGACGTCTGTCGACAATTGAAATTGAGGCTGTGAATAACATTAAAATCTAATTTTGTACTTTGAAACGAAAAACTGCTTGACCTAATTTGGCAGTCTGAGTTGGACTCCTTTGGATTTAGTTTTCGTAAGAGTTTTACGGCACTTGCAACACAATAAGGTCTTATAAGTGCCGAAGATCAGAGATGTTACAAGAGAGTAACAAACACAAACAAGAAGGAGGGGAGGTAAAGACGATAGATGTTTGATAGGAAAGAAGAAGCAAACCACACCAGAGCACCCGCCAACCTGTTGGACTCCGATGATCATCATATACATACAGCCCATCGCATGCCGGAGCTGTACACTTGGCAAGAATCGCCACATTATCATAAAATAAATATTAGGTTGCCCCCTCCCCCAAGGTGCAACAGATCCTTTAAATTATGGGTGGCAAGAGATGAAAAACTTTCGGGGGGGGGGGGGGTTGCACCCCCATCGACACATTTTTAGAATCATTTAGACAGTGGGCTCGACCTTGCCTGTCACTCACTGTCAGGCGTCAGGGCCGACAGAGATGCAGTGACCCAGCAGAATGACTGACCGAGACGCTGGAGTAAACTTCTCCCCACACAAGAATCGGACTCCTTTCTTTACAAGCGCAACTGCGAAGTCACTAACCATTACACCACAGATGCCCGCATGAAAATCTCAGTTTTTAGTAAGAGTTTTACGGCACTTGCAAAACAATAAGGTCATATAAGTGCCGAAGATTAAAGGTGTAGTTACAAGGGAGTAACAAACATAAAAAAGAAGGAAGGGAGATAAAGACGATAGACGTTCGATGGGAAAGAAGAAGCAAACCACACAAGAGCACCCGCCAACCACCCACTGAAAATCTTGAATGAAATTTACCCACAAATTGTAATAGAAAACACAACCCTCCCCCCTCCACCCCACGGCTAACATAACAACCTTAACAAAAATCACAGTTTCTTTCTTTTTTTTTTTTTTAATAGAAGGTTTTACGGCGCTCGCAACTGCATACTGTGGGCAGAGCGGGCACAGCAGAGCGCAGCTGTTTGAGGCGTTAACATTGGGTGGCCACACTGCAGGCAGAGCGGAGCGGGCGGTGCAATGCAACGTCATGTGGCGTTATTTTTTCATATCAGTTTCAGTTGCCCATGGATAGGAAATGATTGGCGTTATTTGTCCTGGTCAATGAGGAGACTCAACAGAAAAAGCAAGAAAGAAATAGGTGCACCCGAACATCTGACTGCAAATTCTTCCACTGATATCTGAATAAAAAGAGTAGAAAAAATTATAAGAGTAATACGAGGGAGAGGTATCTAATTTCTTTTTTAAATTTCTTATTAATTTTCTCTCGTCCTTTATCCTGTTGTGGTGAATGGGAAATAGGAACATAATAATAACCATAGCTTCCTCAGCGTGTTTAAAAGCAAAGCAACGATAATATCTAAGTTTTGCAAAATACAGAGAGTTTTAAAAACGCAACTAATAAAACACTCGTACACACGCATACGCCATACGCACACCCTCAAATATATACCCTCATACACACATAATGTAATATGTTATCTACAAAAGACAACCTGTGTCTGTGGTATAGCGGTAGGCACTTCGTTGTCTCACGTAGAAGACCCGTGTTCGATTCCAGAGTAAGCAAGAATTTTTATCAAGTATTTCGTTTTTTCTGCTTTGACGTTGTATCACTCTCAGCCAGGGTTGTGTGAGTGAGTGTGTGTGTGTGTGTGTGTGTGTGTGTGTGTGTGAGAGAGAGAGAGAGAGAGAGAGAGAGAGAGAAAGAGAGCGGGAGAGAAAGAGAGAGAGAGAGAGAGAGAGAGAGAGAGAGAGAGAGAGAGAGAGAGAGAGAGAGAGAGAGAGAGAGAGAGATGGAAAGGATTGGCGAAGGGAATGTTGGGGCAAACGATGGGGTCGGAAGGAATAATTAATTATGTTGTTAGATTATTGAGAAGAGATCATGTAACGCCTTGTGTGGACCAGACCAGACCATCAATGATTTATTTATAGAGGCACCAGCCATCCATGACCTTGTGTGGAATAAGAGTTTAGAGTACAAATTCAATTCATAGTGCAGCGACTTCTTAGGCCTAGTTACTCGACACCTGCGAGCTAAAGTAGTCCAGTTAAACAAGTATTGTTTTATCATTAATGCGCACAGGCGTATATAATGCGCTTGTAAATAAACTTTAGATCAAATTCGTCTGTGCTCAGTTCACAACCCGACGTTCTGTCAAGTCTCTTCAAAAGTTTGCTTTGCTTTTCCTTTACTTTTTCTAAGCTATCACGTACTTTCTTTTTCCTTTCTTGTTATTGTTATTGTCACTGAATGTCAGACAGAAGGGAGAAAATTTCCAGCGTTTTCGAGCGCAATTAAATCGGGTTTAGAAGAATCTATTTATCTTAGCTCGCAAAGCTTGAAACTTTACTCACTTCTGCACGCAGGACACGCCTGAGCACGCACACAAATTATACCTATTCAATG